TTATCTCAAAACGATGGCCCAAAATATTTTGAAATATGTAGTTTTGTACAGCTTGACGAGCTCTATCGAACTATGTAAAAATATCCAAGAAAAATGTTTTACTCCATTTTTGATTAACTGGCACCTTACTTTTCTTCACCAAAAAAGTATCAAATTTCTGAAAATTTCTTAAGTGCGACATGAAAACGTCTTCATAACCTTTACTATTTAGTGCCAATGAATCCAGTTTTTGACGCGCTTTAATTTGGTATAAATACATTGTGATATTATCTGTTCTTTAGGTTCTAGAGAGAGGGAGGCAAAGGTTATGTGCCACCCTGTATTATTGAACATATCAAAATTTGTATTTTTCCCCTTCTTTTAAATCCATGATTTCTTGAGAATTTATGGAGATGTTCAAACATAATGGATGATTAAACGAAGTTTTTTGTCTAGCGTCGCATTAATGATTTGTGAAAATTTTATTTTCCATATTCTACAAACTTTTAGAAACAAAAAAAGAAAAATTTTCACTCAATAAAAAATGTACTCTTTTCCTAGGAATGTTGGCATCATTTCACTATCTGTTAACGTGTGCCGCCAATGAACTAGGAATGCTTGAAGATGCTACAGAAGCAATATTAAATTTACGTAATGTACAAGTAAGATTTGTACCATCCAAATCTGATCAACAACAACTTCAACCAAAATTTTTTGGTACCAGGTATGATATAAAAATACAAATTCCCTTTCTCTATAATATAAGTGTTATACGTTGTTACATTCAAGATTCTATTGTAAAGTTGTGATACCATTACCCGATCATATGTTTTCTCGTTTACCTGTGAGTATGGACAATTTTTGTTCTATTACTTCTTAAATTTTTAAAATTAACTTAAAACTAGGACGTACTCAAAGATGGTGCGAGTATTCGTATAATACCAATATTTTTTAATGTTGGAATTGATCATCATGCCTCGATCGCTCGAATGTAAATGTATAGTTATTATTGATATAATCACATTGATACTTTCATAATCATTTTTCTAGGTTTGGTCCATTTTCTACTTCGGCATTCGAAAATGTACTCAATCGAGACAGTTTTAATAAACTGAAAGCATACGTCGAAGAAAGTGCAAAATATTTGCCAGGTAGATTATAAAATTTTTATAGTTTTTATTAGAAAATTTTTGAAAATGAGTAATTTTATTATTACCAAACAGCAAAATTGAGAGACGTACTTACATCAATGAAGTTTATTCACTTAAAGAAATGCCAATTTAAAAGGATTGACTCATACAAACTAGTCTCTAGTCGGAATATTAGAAAAACAATGAAAAGCGAAATCGTCTTGTCTATATTATCTCTTAATGTTGTTTATATCAACTTGCTAATATGTTTTTCTCTTTTTCTAGTTCTCATTGTCTTTCAGGTTAATCCAACTTGTATAATCGTCAAAGGAACAGAATGAGACTAGTAGTGTCAGACTGTACTTTATAGCTGTTGCCATCATTCTTAAAATAATCGCACTTTGTTGCTTATATAATACAAATGGATAAATTTTTTTTTTTCTTATAATTTGAGGGACATATATAATATTCATTTAAATAGTCAATTATTCTATTTAACGATTCATAGACTCCATTATATTCTCTAATGGGCTGTCGTTTTTGTCTTTTTTTTTTTTAATGGTATTCAAAGATTGTTCCGAAAAAAAAAATCATAAACAAAGTCAGCTGACCGTTTCAAATTCAATAACACTTTAACATTAAAACGTAAAAATGTTAAATTAACTGTAATGTTCCGATGTTTTCATAATAATCAAACAGAAAACATAGATATGTAATACATATTTCACACATTTGTTTTGAAAGAAAAAAAAATGTTAAAATTGCCAAACAAAATTGTGTGTGTCAACAACACTTCAGTACAATAAAAATTCTCAATTATTATTTTCTTTATTCAACATATAAAATGGCCATAATTGTTATGACAATATACTTCTACTTGTCAACCTAAACAACAATAATTTTGTTTATATATAACTGCTTTATTTGACTAAGGAATATAAAAAGATGAGTGTTTTTAAATCATTTGTCGCCAAGAGTCTTTTGCGTCAGAATAAATGGTTGTCGATCAAGGAAGAAAATAAAATTTTTCCACTTGAAAAATTATTTACACAATTATGTGAGACTTGAAATATCGTGTAATGATTAGAACAGTTCTTCTCATATTAATTAAGCTACGATTATTTTTCAAAATCTGTTTCGAAATTCTTAATATTTTCTATTTGAAAGATTTCAGCTGTTGTGAATTCTATTTATTCTTTAATGTGGTACTAGAAAAGTTTATCGATCAATTTAGGTTGTTTCTGCTTATTTTAGACGATATTCCGGATATGTTACGATCACTCAAAAATGCTGTATTTTCAAATAAACCGAAAAATGTGGACATTTTTGCTTATTCTGAAAATGTGAGAACAAAAATAAGAACACAAAAAAATAACTGAAAATAAAAATACTATTTTAGATTTGTCGTCGTGCTTTTGGAATAAAAGTAACCGGTTGCAAAAGCGCAAAAGATCGTACATCAATGGCATTTACTGTAGAACAAGCACAATTATTAATTGATAATCATGAAGTACCGTCTAAATATAATCAACACGTTTTAAATGAATTTCGAAGGTAGAGAAAGAGAATTTCTTATTAGTATCGACTTCTTATGCAATAATATTTATTATTTTTAGTAATGGAACATCGATAGAAAATGCTTATCAGAACACGGGTATCAGAGCGTACGCATTCTCTTATCTTCAATTATTAACATTTCCTGAGCTTTATCGTGCTCAACCGGGTACTTATGGAAATGTTCAAACATAATAGGTGATGAAACGGAGTTTTATATGTATAGCGTTGAGCTGTTCATGTTAGCAGTCTCATTGAGTGCAGGAGTTGCACGTAGTATCAAACAAAGAAAATGTTTCCTCTCTCTCTCTCTCTCTGTCTCTCTGTCTCTCTCTGGCGGTGGTAAACAATCTTCTCGTATATCTATTATATCTATTGACAAATTTTTTTAGTAGTATTCGTTTTTTATTCGAATTTGAAAACATGAAACAATGTACGTAAAATAGACAAAAATGATGATAATCAATTGAAATTTGTTTTGATTATTCTTTTTTTGGTTTAATAAACAGAACAAAGTGTTCCATGACTTAAATGATCTACACACTGAATGCAGCTCACTCTCAGCACTCGGATTATCCCAACCATGCTAAAAAATACGATTCCTTTCTCTTGCATGCTTCACATGATACTGAACGCTCTTAATACTTCAGGAAATTAAAGACAAAGGGAAGTTCATTATTTCAGCATCAGTTACACTCATTCATCTTTGATTGTATTATTATCATCTATCACAGTTTCTGGAAAACAGGAGGTCTAGTTTTTATTGATTGAAATACGAGTGTTTGGTGGCTACTTTCAAATTTATGCACAAAGAATTTGGATTGTGTTTTCTTTGTCAAGATTGACGATTTTCAGGTTCTGCTGACATCGGGATAATTATTGTAATAAAAATAAATATTATCTGGCGACAATGACATGTAAAGCAATAAGGCTCGAGATTCTGTTGTGCGTCATAAGAAATAGATTACATTTAGGAGAAGAAGCTGTAAAAAAAGCTTAAAGTATACTATAAGATACGCTCCGCTACTGAGTTAGAACATCTTGATACTTTCCTGAAACATTCCACAAGGACGCAGAGAAAACAATTATTCCATGTAATTTCTCAGAGATGCATTAGGATTTAAAAACAGCAATCTGCTCAACTCGGGCACGATTCTTATGTTAAGCTCAAGTTGTCAGTTGTATTCGCGTGATTCGTTGCCTCACTATACGTCTTTTCGTTATGTCGTGGTAATAAAGAACTCTCTTCTGAATTACTGCAAACTTTTTTTTTACCACTGAATATTCGTTTGATGAAAAGAATTAGAATAGCATTATTTAGTTGCTCATTAAGAATAAAAATAAAACAGGCTATTTTTTTTAACACAATCCTACGAGTCTACCATGTTTTTCTATAGTAATCTCTATTAAAAACAACAAGATGAACATCATTCTTTGTTGGGAGCTAACTTAAGGTATTTGACTGTAGATTTAAACTTTGTTGCACTAAAAAATATCTAAAACTATATACAAACAAAAAACAACAACACGATTATACCATTTCATTATCAAATGATCGACTCATTTTAATATAAGTTGATGATGCTGAAGAAGACAATGACAAAGATTTTTTGTTATTGTTTCGTGTCTCAAAAGCTGAAAGTTTTGACTGTTCATTTAACGAATATTTTTTGATGATTGTTGATATCTTTTGTGGTTGATTATGATTATGATGTTCGGCTAATGTTGATGTCATACTTGTATTCGATATTGTTGTAAACGGTGAAGATGATTGTGATGTTGGTGGATGAGGGTTGAGAAGAATTGTACGATGTATCAACGTATCATGTTCTTCTTCTTCTTCTCTTTCTTCTTGATTATCTTCAACCGATTCGTTTGAAGTAAATGATAACGATGACGCTTTTCGACGTTTTAAACATAAATAAAATACAATTATGATTAAAATAAAAATGAATACAAAGATTAATGTTAGAAATAAAACTATTTTATTATGAAAATTGAAAAATGTAGAAATAAAATGACGTGAACGATAACTAAAATAACTACTGTTACATTTATCATAATTATCAACAATTATAATATGAATATTGTATGTGGATGAATGCATATGATCTTGAAGACAAATAGTGATTGTATGAAATCCAAGTGAAATTCGTGTAGTGTTAACTATCAATGTACCATTAGGATAAAGAAATATATGCTGTGTTGTTAACAAGGAAAATATAACTTGACTATTCTCATCTGGATCATAAGCTTTGAATAAAACTGTATTATTAGAAGAATGACGTTCAAAACATAGAATAGAATTATCATCGATTGGATAAATTAATTTTGGTAAATTATCATTAACATCGATTATATTTACTTCAACATTTGTTACTACTATATGTTGACTATCGTGTACTCTTACACGAAATTTGATTGATGATAAATTATTATATTGTTCGCGATCAAACACTGTGGCTGTAAATAATTTTCCATCAGTCGTTAATAAAACTTTTCCAGTTGTATACGATTTATCTTCTGGATATATTTCATACGTAAGTAAATCTTCATCACGATCAAAGGCAACGATACGACCAATTAATGTATTAATAGGACGATTTTCTTCAATTTGCATGAAAATTTCTCCAGATGGAAATACGGGTGGATTATCATTTAATCCTCTAACTCGAATTTCAACTGGTACAATTGTTTGCAATAAACCACTATCTTCAGCTATCACATTAAAACGATAAATGGATTGTTGTTCATAATCAAAACTCATTTTCGTATATAATTCATTATTATGATTAAGAGAAAATATATTTGTGTAATTTTGTATATGATAATGTATTTGTGAATTAATTCCTTCATCAGCATCTGTCGCTAATATTCGTCCAAATACATAATTTAACGGATTATTTTCTGTTATATTAAATTGATATAATGTTTTTTCAAATACTGGAAAACAATCATTGATATCAATTAATTTAATTTGAAATTTTAATGAAGTTGATCGATGTGGATGTCCATAATCACTGACATACAATGTAAAATAATAAATAGAATATTGTTCACGATCAAACATTTTCAATGTTACTAGTTGATAGGTATTATCAGTTATTTTTTGTACAGATAAAAAATTATTTACGGTCATATTTGTTAGTGTAACAGATAAACGTCCATTATCGTCACTATCTTTATCTGTTGCACTTAAATATAGTAATGTTGTACCAATGGTAATATTTTCTAAAACATTTATTATCGTGTCATTCAAATCAATGTTTACTGGTGCAAATGTAAATATTTCAGCACTGTTATCGTTTTCATCTTGAACCTATTTAAAAAAAAAGAAAAGATGAAACATAGTCAACATCAGGTAAATTTTGTGTCTGATAAAATGTGATATGTCTTGCACGATGTCTTAGACTACTAAGAGTATTTATGTATATTAACATTTTATTAAGTCTTCTCTTGATTATTAATTAGCTGTTCCTGCTTGATGTTAATTAGAACAGAAGTTTAAAATGATTCGTATCATTTTTTTTCTCTTGTAAAGATGTATTACAGATGATTTTTGTTAGTATTAATCATCAATCGCCTGTTTATATTTTCATTATTCTCGAGTGCGTGTGCTGACATGAATTAAAAAATAAATCTGTGCTATTTATTATTGATTGAAATCAGTTTTCTTCTATACAAAAAAAGAATTCTCAGGTGATCGATCGATAGATATAATATTAAATACATACATACATACAAAGATCAGTTTAATTACGTATGTTAGTTAGTGATACACCGATATACAAATAACGTCGACTGATATTATTGAATTATAGTTCACATGTGCAAAGATACTGTTTTCAGTTGAACGTGAAAATAAGAGATGAAAATGGAAAATATATTCAGTCATATCAAGGATAAAAGATAATTTGATAAAATATTTCTTTATATAACCTGTCTGGCTAATCATCAACGTTTTATTTATAACAGAACTGGAAGAGAGAGTAAATATCTTATAGGTTATTTTACAGTTTATCTCATGCTCTTATATAAGCTTCAAATCAGACGCTCTCTTAGCACAGTTTGGTCTCTATTTTAACCATCTTACATGTGTAAATTTATCAAATATCGGGATTTGCTTAATAATCCATTTAAAGAAAAATATTTATTCTTTAAAAATTACACCAACTCTGAACTTTGTATGAGCTTTCGTTACAACAGTGTAATACGATCAATATGAAGAAAATGAAATGGATTTAGAACGTTATATGACCAAGCCGTATAGATGTTTGAAAAGATCACTTTTTCAAATATATAGCATCAATTTATCGCACATCATAAAATATCCGATGAGAATATGCACATGATCGTATAAGAATCTTAAAAAAGTAGTCTCTATCTGATTTGTTTAAAAATGACTAGTGTATAGTTAATATATTTTTCTACTTACATGAATTGTAATTGTCATGTAAACAGGAATTGAATTTTCTCCCAAATCATTCGCTTGTATTTGTATTTCATAATTAATTCGTTGTTCATAATCTAATTCTTTAATTAACGTTAACCAACCGGTTATTGAATCTAAATGAAATGTGTCAACTATTGTTTGATCATCTTTTGTCCATTTACTAAATTGATAACGTATTTCACCATTTATTCCTGTATCATCATCATGTGCATGTATTTGAATTATTGATGAATCAATTGGTATTAGTTCAGAAATATTTATTGTTATTTGTCTTTGATCAAACTGAGGAATATTATCATTAATATCTAATATATTAAAGATAATATTTGTACAAACACGATGTTGAATATCATATGCACATAATTTATAATGATGTTCAGATTTTGTTTCACGATCAAGTGAATGTTTTAATATCATTTCAGGTACAACTGTTAGTGATTTTTCTAACATAACTAATTCAAAATAGTGAACAGTTTCATTTGTCATTATTGGTGTAAGTGAATATAATTGAATATTATTTGGTGGTTGATCTTGATCTTGTGCTTGTGGCAATTGTAATCGAGTGCCAATTCGAGTTGCTTCACTCACATTAAATTGATAATTATTTCGTATAAAGTACGGTAAATTATTATTTTCATCAAGAATGGTGATTGGTAATAATAGAATATGTGATATTGTATCCGATATTGCTATTATTTCGAGTTTCAATGTACAATTCAAACATGAACATAATCGTGCAACACTACATAAATATTCTCGATCTAAACGATGTTTGACGGTAATAGTACCTTTAAGATCATCAATGAGAAAATAACTTGTAACAGAATTATTTGATGAAAAACTAAATAACCAAGTGGGAGATGATGATGAAAAATCTGTTTGAGATAGAATATTCAGTAAATGTATAATAGGAAAACCGATTGGTGATATTTCACTACAATTTACAGATGGAAGTCGTATATAACGAGTATCAATGAAATTTAGTTGAATCGAATAATAATAATAAATAAACAACAATAATTCGGAAAACATGGCATGGTAAAATGAAATAATACAGATCTAGTCAATTTTAATCAAGTCATAGTTTCTAAAGTAAACAAATAAGGTCATTATTGCTAATTTATATTTTATAGAAAAATTTTACTTCACAGAGTGCAGAACTATGAAAATAACAGAGATTGACCTTGTGAAACTTCTCACCTACTGTCTTATGGTTTATCATCAACAATAGCGGATTCTTTAAGGTCACTTCGGATGTGAGTGATATAATCTCCGAGATTTTACAAGAATAGTGATGATAACTCTACTGAAACTGAATATCAATGACAAGATGACAATTTCCGCGCAACTAGTTATCTGAAAAGATGGTAATTACAAAATGAAGACATCCGCACACAGAGTTTCAGATTATTAGTTATATATGGTGCTGTTTGAACAAGATTTTCTAAAGACTTTAGTCAGTTCTTTATTTATGACAGATATCTTTTTCTAATGATTTGGATACGAATGCTTAGTAAAGCGATAGGAAGATTTGGATTTAAATTAGTGATTATTCATTAGATCATCCTTCGAAGGGCGTGCAAATGACAACAGTTAGTCTAGACAACACGATTGTCATCCTGATTATTTTACACATATAGTTATTAAAGTTAAAATTATAAAACTAATCAGTATACATTGTTTAACAATAAAATAGAAAAAAAATAAAAGAATGGAAAAAAAATTTTTTGTTTCATTTATCTCTTTTTCGTTGGATTAATCATCTTTCTCTATCTTGAAGTAAAGCAAGCGAGATATCAGTTATTTTTTTAATCGTCCATTATTCACGTCTGTTCATCATTAGTGTGAGACACGAATACCGTTATCTAATTAGCAATATATCTCTTTTCATTTTTTGATTAAATGGCAGAAGAAGAAAAAAAATTCCAAATCATTTCTATTTATGAATGAGCTAAATGTTGGCTGGTAGAGTAAATAATGATTTTTTTCTTTTTTGTCTGAGAAACAGGAACTCTTATGTAGTAGATGCGTTCAAGCTGATAAAAAAACACATTTCCCACACCTACTGTGTATGTTCATCGAACAGTAAATATCAGAAAAAGGAACAAAATGAACGGATGATATCTTGAATATATACAGTATAGCCGGAAAACTAAAAAGACGCAAATAGTAAAACCAAGACGCGTGTTTATTTTTTTTCTTCTCTTGTTGTTCAACTAAATGGATTGTGAAACATCACACAAGAAACACCGCCCCAAAACGTTCTGATATCTAATTTGACATGATTGATTATTTTTTAACTATACGAGAAAAAAAAGAAAAATGTCGTTAAAGAATTGCATCAACTATGATGAACATTAGAGAGAAAAACATACATACATACCTCTATCTACAGAGAGTTAGTACATATTCATATGCTCTTCTAATGGAAATAACAGCTGCGACATATATGAAGAGTAGACAGACTCTGATTTAATTTTAAATCGTATGTAACATATTTCTTTACAAGTCGAATATTCATAACTAGAATCCTCGTAGCTTGGTGATCTTACTTAGTAGTACTACTAACTAATGTGAGTGAGAGAGAGAGAGAGAGAGAGAGAGAAAGAGAGAGAGAGAGAGAGAGAGAGAGAGAGAGAGAGAGAAAGAAAACATTTCTCGTTAAGTTAACGAGGCGAACTAAACTGATTATTCCCCACCAGAAAATACAACTCCTGTTCTATTTTTCTGCAAGTGATCGAAATTTAATTTGTTACTGATATTATAGTTCTCTGAATTGTCACAGTTCTACGTTCAAGTATACAGGACGTCTATCATCTTATACTCTCATTTGTCTTCTAAACCGAATAGACAACAAAAATTTCTATTTAAAAGATACTCTTTTTACGGAACAAAGAAAGATATAGAAAAACTAATAACTCAAAGGAATGTATATTTTCAAAATCATTTCGTTGGTTTAACCGTAATGATTTTTTCTTACTGAAATTTGTTTTGAAAAATTGAAAAGTAGTTTAAATCGAATTCAATGATCAATAAAGGCTGATGACTTAACTGATTTGTGACATTTCTCAAAAGAAATTCTTTTAGAAAAAAAAATGACTGCAACGGTAACAGACAACAATTTTGCATATAACATGTTCTACTGCTTACCTTATCTTGATGAATTTTTAATAGGAAATACTTAAATTGTTATGACATTTTCTCTCTACTTCTCATATATTATCTATCCAATTTTTTTTCAATAGACATACATGTAATTGTTCTCTTATACAGGAATCTCCTTTTTTCCTTCTTTTCGACTATCGCATGTTCATATAAAAAGTGATTAATTGGCTGCCTTTATTTTTAAATAATATTGTTCTGATTAGAAAAGTATAGCAAAAAAGATTTATTCTATTTAGATGTGCATGAATATCTTTTTATATCTATTTTTGTTTTAATATCAACTAATAATACTTCATTTATTTCCACTTACTGAAAAGTGTCTATAGAAATAGAAGCAAATCTTGTCAAAAACTGGTGCGCTTTTTCGTTTTTTTCTTTCAATCAATGCTTAATATGTGCGTGTATGTGAAAATATGAAAGAGATATACTTAACTTAGAGACAAATTAGCACATTTCTTGAAAAACATGTTCAACTCAATAGAAAAATAAGAAACATTCATCTGCATTTGATGCAAAACGGAAATAATATCAAATCGAATAAAATAGCAGATTTGAATTACTTTTTTTTTTTAAATCAGGAAGTGAAAAAACGTCGTTTTCTTGTATTTATACGACATATATAGAATCATTGAGTGTATAATTGAAATCAACGGTATATGAGAAGAAACATATCCAGTTTTTTCTTCTTTTAAATAATGTACAGCTACTACCATCACAAAAATAAATAATGATGATGATTCAACCATACAACAATAGAACTGTTTCGGTAATCGATTTAAATACAATAAAAAATTTACATATATTGAAGATCTAACATTAATCGAATCAAATTTATATAACATTTCAATTGTATGCCTTTAAGGCTATAGAAAACGAAAAACTTTTCATGTGAAATAGAAAAAAAATTTTGTCTTTCGATAAATATAAAAACATATAACTTATGAATACTAAAGTTCTTAAAAACTGATTCCTGAAGAACGAAATAAATTTCGGTATCCACGTCAAAGTTTTGATAAAATCGCATTTTACAACTATTGCTATGCAACATTGACATAATTCTTTTTAAAAAAGATCATGAATTCCTGCCCAATTCGATGGGGATACAAAACTAGTACTCTAAGAGCTTGTCGATGTCAATCTGGAACGACATGCGTGAAAATATCCAATTGATAATTATAATATGTTATTATTTAAGATAATGGAGTCGAGCTCTACTAGCAATTGCGACAATTACAATATAAACAAGATACTCTTGATATTAACCGTACTATTTTAAAGTATCTTGTGATGACTTCATTCATCATCGATCATACAAATCAACTAAGGTTTGACTCTTATTCCCTCTTAAACTTATCTCTGTTCATAACACTTGTGAGAAGGACATTTCTTTGCAGGATTGATAAGAATATAATCAACAACACTAATTTTTCACTTTTCTATGCTTTTTTTCACGCATTAGAAAGGCACCAAACAACTACACATACGTGTATTAAGTTCTCTCTCTACTTTAGCATATAGCATTGTTCAAGTATATTTAACAAAAATTTTGAGAAATGAGCATGGAAATGAAAAAAAAAGAAATCCAGTTTTAATAATAAACAGTTGGTTGATTATAAAATATCAATTGAACAATTGCCAAAATTTTTCTTTTACATCGCAGCCTAATGACGCATTTGACTTCTCAAAGATAATCTCCATGACTGATTATACGACATCACTTGTATATTTTTTTCAATGTCAATCATCATTTTTCTTTTGTGATGTCATTTCAATCAGCTCAAGTTTCATGATAAATTCATCTTAGACACATTAATGTTCAATGGTTGATGACTGAAGGTGATGAAAGAATTACTATATATATATATATTATATTGGCATTTGCCCGATAGAAGTTAAAAAATTAATGGGAATTATAGTTTTATAAAAGATTGGTAAAAAATACCTTGACTCTCATAATCTTTATTTTACAGCACAAATTAATTATTCATTTTATTTAAAATTTTTTATTCTAACGTTTCACCGATTCATCACCAGAGAAAATATATACACTGTAGAGAGAGAGAGAGAGAAAGAGAGAGAGAGATATTACATTATGATATTACATTTATAATGCACATAATACTATGAGTTTACACAAAGTCCTGCCATTACATACCCTTAACCTTGACTCTCGCTATAGGAATTTTTATCAACATGCTGTATGTCTTATGTCTTGACTTTATTTAAAAAATATGCTTTCGGGATTCTTAACATGTTCGCTTAACTCTCATCTAAACCACTTTGCTCTATATCTATGATAATTTGTTAGTTAATTATTGTGCCTAATGGCTTTATCTTACCTTTCCTATGAATTTGTGTAGATTCATTTTTATGTTTTGCAGATGAGATGTCAAAAAAGACTATTGGAACAGGAATATTCGTTGTTTTTCTTCCATGACAAAACTACTGTTTAGAAACAAAAAAAAGAAAAACTCTTTAGTAAGTGACTTCTTTTTTTTTCTCTCTGCTGATTTAACGAAAGAAAAGAGAAAAGAAAACTGATCATTCATCAAGAGAAATATGTACATATATTTGATGTATCTGTTTTGAAACATTCAATTCTCTTTCTTGATCTTATTGAAAAAAAAAATAAGTCAAAAAAAACATCACAAATTGTGAAGAGAACATTTGTCTATATTTTCTTCGTTAAACTGAGCCAGTGTCCATTGATAAATAGATATTCAATTTCTTATTGATAATACAGAAAGATTTTTGCTTTTTCAAAACGACATATAGTTGTCTCAAGTAATTAGTTTATATCAGTTGTTTGTAGAGCATTTCAACTCTCTTTTTTTCCATAAAGAAAACGAAAATATTGATCAGATTCTTCTAAAATCTTATACTTGACCAGTTCTGTAGAAGACGCATGAGATTGATAGACATCGGTCAGTTTATTTCTGATGTTAATAATTTAATTAATATTGGTTAGATAAGAAATAATATTATAGTCTTAGACCATTTCCGTTCGATTTATTTATCATGTAATATGTATGTAGGAGCTTATCTATGACGCCGGTCATTCACTTTCTAGGTGTTCTATCATTAAAACGAAGAATCTCTACATTTTCCGGTTGAAAAAGCTCTCTTAATTTTAATTTTAGTAGGAATACACTTAATCAATTATGAATTTTTTGTATTTTATTTAGAAAGATCTGACTTTTTCTTTTGCTTTTACATCATGAACGCTCGAAGGAAAATAAGAGTCATCACATTAGATATTTGAGTGAACATTAAATTTGAAATTTAAATGTGTATAAATCGTCACTATTTCTATTAACATACTAAAAACGATATGTGGTAATTATTACACGCATGACATAATAGACTAACATAGAAAATTTATCTTTGAAATGTTGATGAAAAAAGTGTGAATTGAAATCTTCTCTCCTTCTATCTCTTTATCAGTAAATCATCCCTTTTTTTTTTGTTGTACGTAGATTATTTTACTGTTAATGAAGTATATATGATAAATGAGTGTACAAACAATCAATGTAAATAAGAAACGAGAGAAAAGAAAACTCGCTGAATTGACTGTTTCCTGCATTGATACAAACGTTTTGCTATAAAAAGAAACGGAATGTTGAAAAAAACATTGAGTGTGATTAATCTCTAACATATATTTTTCTTTTTGCCCATTTAATTAAATAATTTGATGTTATAACTGACAATGTTTCAAGAAGAAATAATTGACTGCTTTATATGAAGAGAAAATATCTAACTTTTAAATATGAAAAGTCTGCTCAAAAGTTCCGTTGTGATACCAGAAGATAGGAAATTTTGTGTCGATTTTGTTCTTTTCAGATAAGCATTTCTTCATTTTTTTGTAGGAATAAGAGTACTGGAAGATACGAAAAGTTGCTTTGCTTAGCACTTAGTTAGATTGAAATGAGATTCTGAAAAATATGTGCTCTTTTACCAGTCATTCCTGTCTCATTCACGAAAGCATTTTAATTTCAGTCCTTGTTATAAAAAGCGACTGAGTCTCTGGAAAGAAAGGCATTTTGTAGTGTTTAAAATTGTACATCTTTTGTTATACATCAGAAACAATTTTCGAAGAGAGCTTCTACAAAAGTACCTTTACATTAATCTACCTCTTCTGATTGTTTCGGCTTTTGTAAACAGACATGTACCCTCCTCTGATTAGAAATTTGTCTCGGTAACTAGAAGTTTGATTTCACGAGGGACCTTTTCCAACTGTCTAATCGCTTTCTGGTCGAAACCTAGTGGGTTATAGGTTATTGACCGTGCTGAACCCGAATATCAACATGATATGGGCCGTTAGGCTTTCAAAGTCCGGTTGTCTGAAAATCCAGTTTTCTAGAAACTCCAAAAAATCTCTGAAACTTTGCTTAATAAGTCATGTTTGTAGACCCCGAAATTCTGATCAAAATGAGAAGTTACCCAGTTCTGCAGGACCTTTCTTTACAAAGTTATAGAATTTACAAGAGAAGTTTTAAATTCATATTTTCTTTTTCTTTCTATATCTCTGAGCTGACAATGAACATTTAGGACTTTTCTTTTAAATTCTATAACTTTGTAAAGAAAGGTCCTGCAGAACTGGGTAACTTCTCATTTTGATCAGAATTTCGCGGCCTACAAACATGACTTATTAAGCAAAGTTTCAGAGATTTTTTGGAGTTTCTAGAAAACTGGATTTTCAGACAACTGGTCTTTGAAAGCCTAACGACCCATATCATGTTGATATTCAGATTCAGCACGGTCGATAACCTATAACCCACTAGGTTTCGACCAGAAAGCGATTAGACAGTTGGAAAAGGTCCCTCGTCAATCAAAACTTTCAGCAAATATTGATCATGTCAAAGTATAGTGACGAAAATATTCTTTGACTTGATCTATTTCCATAAAACAGAAAAAACATTAAAAACATATAGCAATAATGAAGAATAGATGAAAGATACTTATTTTCGAATGATGCGCGCAACTCAGTCAAAAAATATAAACTCGTCGATCTACTTTTGGAATTTCTCCTTTGAAATTTCAACACCGTCTAAAATATTACCACTGCGTAATTAATTTAATCGGGAATTAATTTAATATAGAGTAAATTTAACAACATTTACTCAACAAAAACTACTATTATAGACAGCGTCGTCGTACAGTAACAAAAAATTCATTTCAAATTTTCCACAATTTTTACTTTTGGCCGCAGAACAGAACAGTAGAACACACATAAATATAGATAGCAACTTTATAAATACAGTTACATTTTTTCCATCACTTCATTAAAGTAGAGAATTTTGTTGAAATTCCACTACGTTCTTCGACAACAATATATACAACAAACACGCATCATTAGAGGTCATTAACGTCCTAACCCAAATTTTTGTCGAAATTCCTATGATACTATTATTTTATGGTGAAATAATTGACGAAATTTCGAATATTTTCGGAATTTCGACAGCTGTCGAGATCTCAAGATAATTACTGCAGAAATTCCAAATGAATTCCTGCTTTTGTCAAAATGTGTGCCAATGCCAATGAAGATATTTCGAATGTCCAAAAGCAGAATCAGGATTAAACCTCAAAAAAGTGCCAGAGACAGTAGTTATTTTGTTTCGAAAAAACAATTCTTGTAGAACGCCCTAAAACTGTAAAGCGTTCGCTTCAAAAACAAAGGCTAGATGCTTCCCTGTTCTATCGTCGATCCTGAAACACTTTTCTTTCAAGTGATTATCTGATATGAATAACCAAAATACTACGATCGTGCAGAAATGAAGTTCATGTATAGAATAACTGTAGAACTAAAAACGTTCGCTGCCAGAGCAAATGCACATATCAAGTTACGCTTTCTTCTCAAAACGATAAAGTATTGGAATATCCTGGTTTGTTACGAAGATCTCATTGCCATTTAAAAATGGATTAACAGTTATCCGAATGCAACATAGATTGCATGAACTAGTAGAATCAACTCTTTGACAGGTTGAATCTCACTAAACTTATTATTTAAAATGTTTTGTGATAAAAATTGAGCCATTATAAATGCTTGTGAGACGTCTGCATAGAGTTATGAACGTTCTGCTGAAATACGTAGTCAACTTTTCAAAACAACTCTCGTTAAAAGTAGTTTCGTATAGTGACAATGTAACAAGGCAATACAAAATAGTTTCTAAGTAAACTTTGTAGTCAGTTAACAGTTTTTAATTTAAAAACTGTGTGAATTAATTCTCAATTAGGAAAGGGCCTATGAATAGAATATACAAAATTCGAATGTACAAGAATAAACTATTCTTTGCAGGTGAGTACGACCAAAGTGTAGGTCTGACATAAATTGTTGGATGTTAGCCAAATGCATCTTTAACTCTATTGCATTCATCGAGTACAAATCTGGATGTTACTTCTCATTATTAAGATGTGTCATGTTGGCGCGAACATAGCACTCTGTAAATGCGGCAAAAGTCATGTATAAGAGAGTTTGCTTTAGCGCTATTTCTTCCGAATACAAATTATTTTCATCTGAGTAATAAAATATTCCTTTATTAGAATATATAAACAACATCATCATCTCGTTTTATTCATTATTACACGTTTGAAGACGTAGTTATATTTTATAAAATAATTAATATGTCAAACAATCCAAAAACATTGGCTGATAAGGCTAAAGATGGAGTTGATCATGCTGCTAATAAAGTAAAAGAAGGTGTTCAAACAATACAAGGAAAAATGGAAGGAAAAGAAGCTGAGAAAAATCATCAACAAGCAAAAGATGCTTCTACTGTTGATGGAGCAATTTCTCATGCAGTCGACGGACTCAAACATGATTCAAAAAAAGCCAGTTGTGATGCTCAAGCAGAAGCGTACAAACAGTCAACTCATTTAAGAAAATAGTTGTGATATGTTGGTATTTAAAAACAATATTTATTTATCAAAGTCTATTATTTATTATTTACTGTTCATCAAACTAAAAGTTCGTAAATATTTATTTATTTTCATCGATTTTGTCTTGATTACAATTGTTATTATTTCATGAATTTCAAAACTGTTTTATGAGAAACATTACAGACTTTGAAATCAACGAAATTTTGTTTTCTGACAAAATTTTTGATTCTTTATCTATAATACGAATATTTTTTTTCGCATTTTATCTTAAACAAGATACGTCTATCTATTGTCAGTTTGTTTTTCAACTAACAAAAATAAATAATTAAAAATAATCAGAAAATCACAAATAAGCAACGGATTTCTCAATTAAGTTGATTACTTAAACGAGCAATTAATCTGAATTTTCAAATCAGCATACCTTAATCAGAAAAGAAAACTAGTCCACTGCTGATAAATAGAGCTTCTGCTTTTCTCCAGATAGATAATATTATTACTCTGTCTACTTTTATTTATACAGAAGGATGATATTTAATGAAAAAAGTAGATCTAGGAAGTCTACTTATTGAAAAAGTTTTGTTTATAAAGTTTCATGCAAATGTGTTTATTTTAAAACGCTTTGTCAGATTTAACAGGCAGTGTATCAATGTAAACGTGATCACATTCAAAATTCATTGAGAATAATTGTTCTGAGTAAGAAATTGATTTGAATTCGTTTTCTACTAAGTAATACGTATCGAAAGTAGTAAAAATTAATAATAAATAAATAAATTATATAACTGCTGTGACGAACATTAACTTTATCAATAACAACAACTCTATTTTAACAAAATAAGAATATTAGACAAAATTACATAGCACATTTATTTTACTACAGTTATACACGGTATTTATTCGGTTTCTTCTACTTAGAGGGATCTGATTAAAAGCGATTCTTTAAAAAAAAGAACTAAATATATCCGTTTAATGAAGTTTTACTGTAAATCCATAAGCGTAACGTTTTTCTTCAGAGAAAAATATGCTAGTGTAAGCCTTTTTAAACAAAATTTTTTCAATTGAGAACTATTAAAAGCGATGATGTCCACAGAATTGGGAATTCTAATGATTTAATCAGTAGTCTACTGATTTTTTTTCTACTGCATTCAGTTGTTGCTTTTTTTGGAACTGATTTCGAGTTTTCATATTTCATCACCATTGCTAAATTTGCTTATAACTAAAAAGTTACAACAAACAGTCAATAAATTTATTAAAATTTTCAATTCAAATTATTAGATTTGAAAATGATATTGATTTTATTAATTATGACTGTAATTTGAACATAATAGAACCAGATGGTAGTCATCTTAATGTACTCGAAACAAAATAATTCACAAGTGATACTGATGAATATCTGAAGATTTGGAAATAAATAATGCTATCTCCTCAGGCCTTTTCGTATACATTAGATAAAACTCACACTGGAAAACGAAGTCTATCCGTTTTATGATATAATGTTGAGAATTTTTGTGTTAACCTAAAAAGTCTGAAAAGTTTAATTCAAATCTGTAATGACTCATTCAACATAACCGACGTCATCTGTATCCAGGAGTCATGATTTAACAATAACAGTGAATAACAGGAGATGTTGGAATAGAAATTCTAGTAGGATTTCATTTATCAGCAGGATAGACTGACTATCTGTGCTTCAATTAGTCCCTTCATTTCCAACTTATAATACACGATACACAACACTATTTGACGATATTTCTTATCCATTTAATTGAGAGAAGCTAAATATTTCCGATAGTTCAGCTTTAGACTATTCGCCAAATTCTGTACTTAGAGTCAGTCAAATTTAAGTATTTTTGTATGGAATGTATCCGTTCTTCAAAACAACGTCGTGATTACGAAAAATGTAAGTGTCTAAAATTATTGTCAGAGTTATCAGGTAGCGTTCTAAATGTCTCTAACCAAATATCATAAATCTAATCGATTTTGTATAATCGTAGTATCATCTAGTGTAAAAATGAAATTAGACTTCCCAGAAACATAAACTGAGGAGCACAGTCATATCTCAAGAAAATTTAGTTTTTTTTACTTCATCCATTGTATCTTCCACCTTTTAGACCTCGATCAATAGAATACGTCGAGGAAACTCTATTTTCCTTGCAACAATATGGGAACAGAAACAGCCGTTACAAATGAGGAAAAAGCGAACTTTTTCAATAAATACTTTTCTACTTGAATATCTTCAACAGCGGACCATATGCCCACTCCAGCATCAAATTTTTTACTGAACTCAACACTAAATTTTGGTTGTCCGTCGATACTGTAGATTACTGGCGCAATCAATAATTAACGTAATGATATCTCTTGCGGTTTTGATAATATTCCGGTGATTTAACCGGACACTTTTCAAACAGATGGCAGATTGGTACTACCATAAGAGAAAAGACCCAAACATTTTGCGTCTAATTATAAATCCATATCTCTTCTTTGTATAGTTAGTAAACTACTTGAAAGATTTGACTTTACCATCGCCTGACAATAAATAATTTTTTCTCAGATAAGCAATTTGGTTTTGTCCGAAGATGCCGATAGCTATTGTATCTATTATAAATCAATAAGTAATTTGAACTCTCAACCATCTGTGGATACCATCTTGATCGCATTCGATATGGAGAAGATTTTAGGCTTCAGTAATGTCAGAAGCAGTTGTAGAAGGATCTATCTTAGAGGCGTCACTGTTGAAACCGATCGGTCGCCAGCAGAACCACTTGATCTGTTCCAACTCTGACGCTATCTGTCTGATGTTGTTATCTATCATTTTTCTTAATAAAGTATCCTCTGTTGTACAACTACGTGCAGACACTATTGTATTCTCTGACGATTGTACACCGATCTGTTCTGTTACTTTGACGCATTTCTCACAACTCCGTGAGGACAATATCGGCAAAATATATGACTGATGCAGTTCGAACTTATGACATTAAACTCTAATTAACGTGCAAAATATTTATCTCGATATATACAGAACGCAAAGATACATTCGTTCTGTTAGGATTCAAAGTGGACTACAAACTAAGATGGCGTATCCGTGTTAATGATCCTGCAGTAGCCTGTAGACAACATCTACGAGCTAGATATAGACAGTGTAAGAATACGCCTCTGCTTATTTGTATTACATAAAAAAGTATTATTTTTTTGGTTAAAGGTTTTTGATGTTGCCGAAATTTCAATCGATCAATCTTCATTGTTATATCCATCTGAAAGACTATAATGATCAAATATAATACGATTTAAACGCTAAACTGTCCTCAATTAACTGTAAAAAGAAAGTGAAGGATATGAATTTATACTTAAATATGATTTCTAGAATATCACAAATGTGCATCATTAGCATAATTTCCAAGAAATAAATATCGTGTGGACTTTAAAGAGCCATCTTTTCCAAATGCCTTCAGATAATCGTAAAATTAACCTTACAAAAATACAAAATTATAGATCACGTCAGGACATTGAAAATTGGTTTTTATTTTACCATATAGATTACTAATGATGATGATTGGTGTTGGTAGTTCAAGTCAACTTTCTTCGCTCATAGTCAATTCACTTTCTCGTCTCATAATCATTAATACTGCATTTAATTCTAGACGGTCTGGAAGATTTAAAAAAAATTGTTCACTCATGGATTTTTATCAAAATTTTCTACCACTCACCCTACCTTCGGCTTCTAAATGTGGACATAGTAAGGCTAAAGTTGGAAATAATCGTACGAATATAATTATACAACGAAAAATATGAAACAAATTATTCATCTCTTCTTTAAAACTCATGTGTTGAATGAATCAAATAGATTATCAGATATTTATAGAAGTTTATCTTGTCACTGTTTCAAAATATTTCCTTTATGGTGAATAGATGTACAGATAGATATAACACTTGATTGACAATTCAATAGTTAACCGGATATGGTATTCGTTTGTAAGTTTCCATCACATTTTCATGAGATTGTGTCACTGTTCGATTGTCATGGTTGATTTAGTAAAAGAATAATTGTTAAAAATATTAACGATTATTTCTTCAACTATTCCACTTTGTTCTTTTTCTTAGCATTTTTTTTTAACTATTATCTAATTTCATTTATTCAATTTCTAACAATGCGCTAAATTGTTAAAAGCTCTCCTATCAATCAGTTCCTAGTTAGAAAGCATTTTATTATAGTGGGTCTTCTTCTAATCTCATATCGTATTATAGTTATACAACATAAATGCTCCATTCCATTTTGTATTTGTGTTTTTATTGCATTTAACATATGTGGACAAAAATGGAACGAAAAAAAAATACTGTCACATGCACAAGTAGAGAAAGAAGTACATTATATTAATTATATTGTTTAAAAAAATATACCTTGCGATCGAGACAGACGATGCCGCTATCGTATTGTCAAAAAATAACATTTAACCGGAAATAATATACTAAATGTACAAATCACATAGACAAATTTGATCGCGCAAATCACATGAATAAAAGAAGAAAGATTAACATCTGCACGCATATTTATAAACAAAAAAAACATATGAATATATTCTCGTTAAAATTAATGTAAAATTATTCAAGAATACGCCGTTTATTACCGATAAATGAACGACGTAATGTTTGAAAACGTTTACCGATTGATAATTTTGTTTTTTTTGTTGGTTGATCAACATTATCATTTGAATTAACAATAATATTTTCATCATCATTATAATGAATTATATTGTTGTCTTCTTCATCAATTGATGGTGATAATGTCAATAGAACATGGTTATTCATATTCATAGTGTTCGACTTTTTTCCATCAGACGATATTTGTTGTTGTTGTAATAAATTTTCATTTGTTAAGGATGATTGTCTTTTTTTAAGTAAAAATGATACACGAATACGTAAACTACGATTAAATTTTTTATTTTTCTGTTTATTAACACTATTTACCGAGCTACGCTCACTATTTGTTGGTTCACTAAGAGACGAATAACCTGATTCATCACATAGTCGAGTTCTGGTGGTTGATAATTGATTCGGAGTACTGATAGGTTTTTGATCATTTGACATTGCCACTGTTGGTGTAACTAGTCTAAAATTAAAAACCAATACTTTAAATAGTGCGACAAAACTATCTTGTTACATGGTTAGGCGCACCAAATTCGAAATTTAAGCACTATTTTATTTTGGACTATATTATACATGGTTTGACAGAGCTCGACGAGCTGATAAACAATATCTAGGTTTTGATTTAAAAAGACTGGATTTGAAAGAAAAACTTTCAAAATACTGGAAGGGTCTAGAATTCCATAAAACCGTTGGATTGTAAAAACTATCGAATACTTTTTCCCTATTCGATTTTCAAGCGCTATGAACTTTTTTTCCCAATTCAGTGCACGAAACTGATTCTAGAAATATTATTCGGAGCTCGATCATATATAATGTGTCCAAAATGAAATCTCATGTTCAGAGGCAGGTTAAAAGGCGCGAACAAATTTTGGAAATCTATCTAGTTTTTTCTGTTAAAAGATGTAAAATTGATTTATGTCACGTTCAATTCGTCTTTACGCAAGCAAAAAAAGTATGCAAAAAAAGTCACTTTTTCTGAAATTCCTTTCCGTTGCTGAGAAAATTCATTTTTTCTAAATCAGAGGTGAAAACGTCAGAATTCTACTCGTAATTCTCAATTTTCTCCATCAAAACTCAACTTTTAGTTTACTTATTTTATTTTAATCTTCTTCATGCAATAAAAGTATCATATTCAGAATCAGGATAAAAAACGAGGTCGACGAATGTGTATTTCTATCCTATCTGACTACTTTAATTTTTTTCGGATTTTCATGCTGAAAGTTATCGAGATTTTCACCAAAAAATGAAAATCAACTAGAAGTTTCGAAATACACATTACCACTCAGGTTTTTATCCTGTCTCCGAATATGATAGCCGCAATTTCATGCGCTGAACTCGGGAAAAAAGTTCATAGCGCTTGAAAATGGAATAGGGAAAAAATATTTGATATTATTCACAATCCAACGGTTTTATGGAATTCTAGACCCTTCCAGTATTTTGAAAATTTCTTCTTCTAAAGCCAATCTTTTAAACCAAAACCTAGATATTGTTTATTAGCTCGTTGAGCTCTGTCGAATCATATATAATATAGTCCAAAATAAAATAGTGCTTAAACCTCGAATTTGGTGCGCCTTACATAATTACAACTGACAAGCCCCCAGAGGCTTTTATTATGGGGGGAGGAGGGTTACTGGAAATAGTCTTTGAATTGTTCATAGTTCTCAAGCAATACGTCATGCAGAGTATATTGTAAGTTACACATTGTTCAATCTAACTGATCAAAATAACTTGTAGTTACACATAGTGCAGACATTTTTCGATGCAGCTAGATGACTTCATCGACAAACACTTCAGTAACAAATTTTAGATTCTACTCACTTTGAGAATATATCCCATTGTATCTAGCTAAGTTAAGCCCAAAACAAAATAATCGGTTTGGAGTACTTACTGCATTTTTGGTGCTTGTGGTGCCCTTCGTCGCTGTGTTTTTTTATTTTGTTCATCATTTATATTCCCCATTGTTAACGGCATTGTAGATGATATGGCTACTTTAATTTCTTGATGATTGCTGATATTTTGAGAAAGACTAATATCTTTCTCATTTTTATCTATTGTCGTTGATTGATCATTGAGATCATCCGATGATTGCGTTTTAGTAAGCAAACGTTTATTTGAATTATTACTTTCTAACCGTGAACGACGACCACCCTCACTATTACGTTGCGAATTTCCAAGCACATTTTTTGTTTGACGACCCATGGATCGAAATGATTTTCGTATACGATAAGCAATACGATCAAATGGTTTTGCCGGTGATGGAAATAATTCGTCATGATCATCTTTATTTATTATTAAATCATCATTGTTTGGTAAATGTGGTTCATATAATTGCTGTTCGAATGAAGATGATGAATGTCGTCGATGTTGAATTAATTTTGAATTTGAATTTGTACTATCAAAACGTTGACGTGATGTTGTTGTTGTTGTTATTGTTGTTGCTGTTTCGGATAATGTAGCGGTGTCAGCTGTTTTCCGACGTGTTAATGTACGAAATGATTTTCGTAATGTTGTTGTCATACTACCACTGTTTCTATAAAAAACAAAGAGCAAGAAATAACATCATAAAAAATGATATCAGACAACAGCAACAAAAATTAAAGGCCAAATATAATTGGCAATAGAGTCAGATTACCAAGCATGACATTAAAAAATAAAAAAGCTCAATGCCCATGTTTATTGATATTGCACTTGCTTTAAAAAAAAACATATTTTGCCCATGGAAGTAAAGGGTATAATGTGGACACTGTTGTTTATTTAGTCTATAATTACATAGTTCTAGTTGATCTTATTAAAAAAAAATACATTTTGGTTTTTTCAATCGACGCATGATAAGATGCAACATGATAAGAATATAAACTATAGGTTATTTGATTTTTTCTCGTCATTTCTATTACTTTAACTCTGATTATACTCTATCTTTATTATAGGTAAACCACCTTGAAATAATAATATATCTTATACTCAAATTACTACAGTTTGCCTTAAAGCTAATTTTTATAATCAGATGTAGAGACTTTTTTTCTTTGTGAAATTTTATCTTTTCTTTCAAGCAAAAAACTAACGATATGAGAAAATTTCTATTCAATGTTGTTATCTTTATTTTATAACTTAGAATCCTCATCCGAAGAATCCTGTGATTAATGAGAATCGTTCTAGACTCGAATTAAGAAGTTATTCTATAAATATTTCTGCTTATTATGAATAACAACATTCTAAAAGCCATCTTTAACCACTTCTACTCATCCGTATGAATAAAATAAAAGACGATATTCACTGATAAGTTTATACATATATATGTGCATCATTTCCATTCACCTAGAATACTAACCAACCGTCTGTTTATTTAAATCATTCAATATATGAAACTAATTTAGTTTAGTTTTCATGATCTTAATTTAGTAGCTTACCACATACATAACGAAAATAAATGATAGTTTATAAACAGTAAATAAAAAGAAAAAAAATATTATTTATCACTAAACTATCAGATTCTGAAATTTAGACTACTTTTAAGTAGAAAAAAAACCTTGAATGCATTATTCATTTAAGATGTCCAATTTTTTTTTCTTTAATGAAGAGAAAGATTTTGATGAAGCAAAATAAGGAGAGAAACATATACAATCAAGACATGTTTTTTTTGGATGTTTTAAAAGGTTTCTCACAAGGATTTTGTTCTTTGTTTCTATCCTTCATATACACGAATAAAAATAATTGTAGATAATAGACAAAACAATACAGTCTATCTCACTCTTGTAGAAGGCTAAACAATCGTGCGTATCATGAGTGTTCTATATTTTTTTTATTTTTTTACTTTTCTTTTTCAAAAAAATTTTGTTCTCTTTATTCGACTGTAATCAATGAAGGAAAAGAAAAAACGTGTATGTTTGAAATGAGAACTGAGCATGTACATTATTTAGAAACAAAAATTTGAACTATAATTAACTTACATTTCTTTTCTTGATTTTCGAAACGTCATATCATTTGAAACCTCTCTCTAGCGTGAGTATTTTTTTAATTCATATCATCATTTGCATCCAATTTCAGAAAATGACATGCTGACGTCATTCAAATCAAAGTATTCCTATAGAAAACTATCAAAAAGAATTTAATATATTTTAATTTTACTATTCTTTTCTATTATTCGAGAAGAAAATTCACGGAAAGTTCTTCTTCTCTATAATATGAACCCTAAGGATGTCTAAAAAATTCTCTCAAGCAAAAAACAAAAACATGTACAAAAAAACGAAGAATTTTTATTACATCCGATATTATTCATTTATTCCCGAATATCTACGGTCACTTTTATCACAAGAGACCACCTACACATCTCTTTCTTAGATAGAAATGAATTTTGATATGTTGTAGAGAGTGAGAGTATATAAAATTAGCGAGCGAACAAGAGACAACACATATTCACTCATCGATTAAGCGAAAATTTTTATTTTATTTTTGTAGGTGAGAAATAAGCAAAATTAGAAAAAAAGAAAACAGTTTAAAGGACATTTTTTGAATTAGACAATAACTACAATTTTTTAGTATAAAATAACTTTTTTCTTTTGAAAAAATTTTTCTCCATTTTTATGTATCAATGATTTTAAGAAAATAGAATTTTTTTATTAAATTGAAGTATTTAAATTATTTTTTTTACATATCATCCGTCACTTTTATTTTAAACTTAGATAGTAGCTAATTGTCATCTAGATTATTCTTGAACATCTTAAACTTTTCTCTTTTATTAGTCGTACTTTTTGCTTATTTCTCACATATAAAATAAAATAAAAAATAACTTTCGCTTAATCGATGAGTGAATATGTGTTGTCTCTTGTTCGCTCGCTAATTTTATATACTCTCACTATCTACAACATATCGAAATTCATCTCTATCTAAGAAAGAGATGTGTAAGGAGGTGGTCACTTGTGATAAAAGTGGGCGTTCGAGAATAAAAGAATAATATTGAATGAGATAAAATTATTTTTTTTTGTACATTTTTTTTTTTTTTGCTTGATCAGAGAGAATTTCTTATTTTAAACGTAATTTGTAAAAGTAATTCTATGTTTTTCATAGTTTTACGATAGAATACTAATAATGTATTTATTTCCGTTTGCATTCTGGAAGAATAAACTTTAAACCATGTCTTAAAGCAATGTATACTCTTTTAATTTTGCAGTATTTCCATAACATATTTATTCTAAGGGAAAAAACAAAAAAAGATTGCTACATTAGACAAAACAAAAATAAAATATTCTTATTTCTGATTATAAGATAACAAAAAAAATGATGGAACTATTTTCTTATTGAACTAAGTACGAGCCTTATATGAAACGAACGACTAAATATTAATGTGCTTACCTTTGAAATGGCCGCATTTTTGAAAATTTTCGAACTATGAAAACTGGAAGACTCGAAGGACTCGTATGATCGAGTTAGAATTGTGTGTAGTAATCTTTTTGAAAGGATGCTAATGTATTTATATCAAACAAAAAAATATGTTTGCAGTAACCAAGTTTATTTTTTTGGACGTCGTAGAAATACTTTATTCTTCTCTCTAACAGTGTGAATCATTGACATATATGCGCATATGTTTGAATGTTTGCGTGTGAAAAAGGGAGAGAAAGAATGACGTTCATCGTTGGAATTTTGTGACATTATTATCAGGTCATTTCTATACTATATAGATCCGGTCATTTACGGTTTTTTAAAACAAGTTCCCAACACTTCTCGAACGGATGCCAAGTTATTTGCCACTATCTTCAGCACTAATCCCAGAACTGAAAACTATTTTTTTTACTCAAAATTTGATTATTTGTATATTCGAGAAAGTGAAAAAGTTCTTCAAAGACGATTAGTGTCACATGTAAACTAGAAGTAGTTGGTGAATAACTTATAACCAAAACGGTCAAGAAACGACGAGTTAACGGTAACAAAAAAATAGAAATGAAGAATTTATGTCGGTTAGTTAAGAATTTATGTCTGTTAGTTAAACATTTTTCGATCATTAATTGACGGTTAAGAAACGATCGGTTAATAATCACCATGAAAGACCGTTTCTTGACTGTTATCGATGGATGAGTGACTGATAATTGGCAGCTGACAGACTATTTCGATTGAGAATAACAGTATGCTCCCTTGGTTTCTGACAGTACGGAAATCCTATTTCAGGTCTCTTAGAAATAAGTGTGTATAGAGACATTTAGCCATGTGTGATTAGAACAGTATGACTTATGTTTTTCTTCTGCTGATATATACAGCTGAGGGTAATCATATAATAGTCAGAACTAAAATTATAAGTAACAAGTACTATCTAATTTAACAAGTACAGTACATATTTTGTTATGACATACATATCATTTTATTTAATAGGTATAGGTATGTAGTAATAATTTATAATACCAAGACCTTGTACAGAATATCAATTAGATATCGAAGTGCTAACTTCTTATTCTCAATAGCTTAGAATTTGCAAACTTTCCAACTGATGAATAAAAATGTCTATATTAACGAGAACGTTTTAAAAACATACCGTATATCATTGTATAAATTTAAATTGTGAACAGCATCATTATCATCGTCAATGTCTTTTTGCTTAGGAATCAGATGATCATGGTCGACCAGTGACATTGATTGACGTGTTAATGAAAGCATTTTATGTTGTACAGGATTTTAATCACAATAACATTACAATAAACATTGTTTCTTTATCGTTTTTGTCAAAATTTCTTGCTAAGAATAATAAGAGATAAAACATGCATGTAAAAGAAGCTTCTACTGTATAAATGATGATTATGACAGTCCAAACATTTTTTTTCTTCTTTATTTTTGCGTAATAAAACAGTACCACACACACACTATTCTCTCGTTTTTATCATCTCATTTTTCTTCTATGATAGAACATAAATACGACCTTATTATGTGATAGATAGTAGGTCTTATTGATAAACATAACATCTAACTGATGTAGAAAGAAAAATATAGGCCATTTAGACTACTATAACAAAAATCTTTCTTTCCTCTAACAGATGTATCAATTGTCGAAGAAAAAGATTGTCATAGCTATCTATTTATGACATTTCAATAAATCAGATGTTGACGAAATGGCTTATTTTCTCTCGCCAGTCAAAGTATTACTTGTACTAAAATATTTTTTGAGTATATTAGAAAAGACGTACAATAGTACTTTCTGTCAAAGTAGTATAAAATTTTAAATTGAAATATTGCGATATATTATTTAACTTTGTCTCATTTAATTATTTACAATGATCTTCTCATATCTTCTAATAAAAACTAATTTTCAAGTCGTTAGTATATGTATGTGAGAATATTTTTTTATAACACATAACTATACACATTTTTACGGATTCAAATTCAAAATATCGAAATATATTTAGAGAAATATTTTTAAAAATTACAAAATATGAAGATAAGAGTATTTACGACATATTTCTGTTTCAAAAACAATCCAGGATTATCGAATATTTTCGTTTTTATTTACATAGTCCTAAAACTATAATAAAATTTTATCTCAAACTAAATTTTATTCATACTTTTTTTATATAAATTTATTTCAAACATCCTAGTTGCAAAGTGGATGGATGCTGAAAAGACAAAATAAAAAAATGAAAACCTATCGTTCCTTCTCCTTCTATTAGTATGCAGACAGACGACCCGATATGTTCATATAAGAAGAAAAAAAATTGTTTATGGATACAAAAACTTTGCGACAGAACAGTCTCTTTTCTAAAACAACTTTATAAAAGAGAAAAAATTAAAATAATTGCATTCCTAAATTTTTTTTCTTCCTTGCTAATGACTTTTTTTGTTTTTCACTAGAGAAAAAGAGTTCAAATACAATGTTTTTTTTAATATTATTACAGAATTATTTCATTGTCACGCTTTGCCGATGGTTTTGATATAACGCAACATCAATATTTGTGATTTTATCATTTACAAAAATATATATATATATGCGTTCATGGAAGACATCAACTAAGTACTCTTTTATGTTTCAGAAAAACTTTTTCTGAAAGCTGTCAACTTCTTAAATTAAAGCTAAAGTGCTTCTAAAATGTTGAGTTTCTGTCATGGTACTAGCACAGATAAGTGGCTTAACCAAACATTGTTCTAAAGTGCAATATATCAAGATCAAAATCACTGAAAGTGCTAAACATTTTTCTCAAAAATACCTAACTCCAATTTATAGAATCGATTAAAAAAACTCACCTGTTTCAGTTGTTGAAGAAACGTTTTAGAAGAAAAATTTAAAGGACAGTGGACAATAAGCGTCAAAATTGGCCTTCTCATCGATCAATCTTATTTTAACCGATCTGATGTAGTTTTCATCCACGCTTAATCCTAACATGGTCACCAGTAAGTACAATTATTCTCTTTCTTCATTTTTTTCAGCGTCAACTTTCAATTAGGTTCATCCAAGTGTATTTTTAACCGTCGATATAACGGGCCGATTTGATATATGGAATTTAAATA